ATTGTTTCATTTCTCACTTCGCTGATCTATTCTAAATTTAGTAGTTGTGCTTTGTTTCATTTCGTTAAGCCTTTGTAAATTGAGCACTTGGTTCATGTTTTGTTTCTTCGAGCCGTTGATATGTTCGTGGCCTTCCGCTCGGTTTCGTTGAGTGATCCGAAACTGGGTTTCTGCTGGGGTTCCGTTGAGTGGTCCGGTTCCCTGCTCTGTCTGGATTCCGTTGAGAGATCTGGAATCCCTCATGCTCTACGATTCCGTTAAGTGGTCCGGAATTGTATCTTGCCTTAAATTTCATTGAGTGGTCTGATATTCATTGTACTCCGCGATTCTGTTGAGTGGTCCGGAATCGTATCCACTTGAATTTCGTTGAGAGGTTTGGAATCCTTTCTACTTCATGATTCCGTTGAGTGGTCCGGAATCGTATCCTGGTTTCGATTTCGTTGAATGGTTCCGAATCCCCCTTGGTATTTTGGTTACGTTGAGTAGTCCGAAGCTCGATGCTGTTGGATTTTGTTGAGTGGTCAGAAATCCCATTCTTCAGAGATGTAGGCTTTGGCCGAACTGTCAGTCTAGCCCTGCATCTTAGTGCATAGTTGGTGTTACTGATTGATGTGATTGTGGAATAGTGTTGGAAAGCATACTTGTGTGCATGGCAAAATCACAATTGTTGTTTGGCTTATGGTTGATGTGTAGTGTGGTACTTTATGTTTTCTGCTAGAAGTGTTTTAAAAAAGTTCAAAGTTTAATAGATGGTGAACTACAAACGGCTTGATCCCTATTAAGGGTACGTAGGCAGTCCAGCGATGAGGTTATATGCAGCTATAAAATATACTAAAATTACTATGCAATTCAAATCTTGAGTTATGCTTTGTAGGTATCTCGGAGGCGGGGTATGTTAGAGATACGGATACTTGGTGACGTCACGTGTTGATCCTGACGTATGTTGGGATCGGGGCGTGACATAATCACTTTGGTTTGTTTGATTATCAATATTCGTATTCTGTGTAACTTTCATGAATGTATCATTTTCTTTTTTGTTATTGTTCACTACTGCGGTATTTGTACTATGTTGCATTTTGTTATCTGAAATTTTATTTTATTTTCATATAGGCTGGCAACTTGGCATCGAAGAAGGAGCTGCTGACTAGGATGAGGATTGGGATAAATTTGAAGATGAAGGTATGCCAAAAATGAGTTATTATAGGTCCAGTATAATAGGGAGAATGACAAGTCATCCAATATAATTACTGTTAAATAGTTTGATAAAGCTAAATGTACTTAGTTTTGTTAGTTACTGTAATTAGTTAAGCTAGTTGAGGGTATTCTTGTAACTAGACTAAGGCAGCTAAGGCTATATGTATTCACATCTGTGTAACTGATTAATTATTCAATACAATCAGAAAACTTACAGAGAAAATTTTCTGTTTCTATATGGTATCACGCCATTCTGCTTCCTAGCACCGACCTTCTCTTCCGCTCGACAAATCGATCGCTTCTTGATCGATTCTCTCTGATTCTTTGAGTTTTTGTCTTCGATCTCTCTTGAATCTTGATCTGTTCAAGATATGGCTGCTCAATTTGACTCGCCACCAACTGGATCGTCTTCTCCGATCATCTCTCCTTCGGTCCAAAACCCTAATTCTTCCTCTAATCCCAGTACTCTGAACTCGTATACCTCTCTTACGATTCACAACATTGGCAGTATGGTGCCGATCAAGCTGAAATGATCCAACTATCTGTCATGGCGAGCACTATTTGCTCCCATTTTCCGCCGATACAAACTATTTGCTCCTCATAATTCCTTTAAACTGAGCAATGTTTTACATGTTCCTTTCATGAAACATAATCTCCTGTCTGCTTATCAGTTTCTTAAGGATAATAACTGTTCATTGACTCTTGACCCTTATGGATCCACTGTCAAGGATTGCATTTCGAGGAAGATGCTTTTGCACGGCCCTGTTAGGGATGGTTTCTATCCTCTCCAAGGTTCCACCAGTCTCCATACTTCTCCCTATTACAGTATTGTCTCTGAGATTATAAATTTCTTGTAGCACTTAGATTCCTTTTACCTTTTCATATTGTGGTAAATGGATCATATTGCCTGCTTTTTGTAGTTTTTGTCGTCTGGTTGTGGTTTGCCAACCTGTTTAGGACTTTTAACTATTCGAGGTGATTGATTCAAAAGTTTAATTGTCAGGATTCACTTGTGTCAAGGAGCTCACTCTTGATGTGTCAAATGTCTTGGCACCTCCAAAACAGAAATCATCATCAGTTCAGAAAGAAAAAGCTCCCCAAGTTGAGAGTCCAACAACTGCTTCTTCACCTAAAGTTGATGTTAAGTCAGAAAAGTCTCAAGGTACCGATGCCGAGGTTGTTGAAAATGGAGCAACATATGATAAAAATGAGGACGAGTCAGCAAAAAGTGCTCGGAACAGTCCATTTGCCAGCTGTACTGTTGGAAGCCCATCTAGAGAATTTTCAGATTCTAACGATGGAAAGACAACAGACGCAGACGCCTCACCCTGTAATAAGGAATCTCAAAGGTATAGTTCTAGATCTGTAGTTTTCTACATATTTAAGGTCACCCTGATACGTGCAAAATTGCTGATATTCTAAACTTTCATGCGCAGTGATGATCAAGCGGGTGTTGGGTCTATGTTTTCTGGTGACAAAGGTTCCGATGAACCAGCATGGTGGACATTTGACACTAATGATGACGTTGACTCCGTGTGGGGTTTCAATGCAATTAGTACCACCAAGGTAAGCCGATATTGTACTTTCAGTAATTTTTTTTTTTTTTTTTTTTTTTTTTTTTAGAGTGCATTCAGTATTTATTTATTAGAACTCAGTTCGTCGACCTTGTGTTTATGCTGACTGGATCTTGCTCCATGATTGCTGTTAATACCACCTAGTTGTTTGTGGTGGTGACCACTTATCCTTGTTTTAAGAGTTTGCCTCAAGTGTCCTAATGCTTGCTGAGTTGTTTAGTTATTAAAGATGGTTTTGGGAATTTTAACATTATTTGAATAGTTTCTATCTTCACCATTCTGATTGTTTCATCGTGCAAATCAGTTAGCAGTACGGGTCTTTCAACCAAGTATGGCGAAACCGAGTTTCCTGATTTTAGTTATGTTCACTTAGATATAAAAAGAAGGGGTTGCGGGATTGTTCCTGGTGCAATTAATTGCACATTGAAGGGGACTCTGATTTAAACCCTAGGTCTTGGTTAATCTTAGTCAAGATCATTTTTGTGTTGACAACTTGACATTGACAAGAGATGGTGCCATATTGTGCACACTTATCAAATATTGACGGGTTCCACGTTAATCAATGTATTAATCATTGTTAAGAATAGTGACTGGAAAAAAGAAAGTTAAATTTCAAGTTAAAAAACTAGCAATTATTGTCATGTTAGAAACAGTTCTTGTTAACATTTTGTAGTCAATGGAAACTTTCCTTTATTTTGCACCTTCCAAGTGGGCATGGATTCTAGGTTCAAGTGAATCAGCTTTCTTTTCTAATAGCATGTCGCTTACGTAGCACTTTCAAGCTTTTTGTTTTTGTGGTTTTATATTTGTTGTTATTGCTGGCATGCTGGATTGTGCTGTAACTGCTCTTAATCATGTGATGTAGGATATGGATAAGGAGAGTAATAAGGATCACTACTTTTCTGGCCCTGGGGAGTTCGGCCTCTATCCTATCAGGACTGGGTCATCACAAGGAGGTGGCTTTTCCTAGAAGAGCCGCCCTTTTACTTTCGACGATTCTGCTCCAAGCACACCACTCTCAGCCTTCAATTCAGGATATTCACCGCCAAGGTACAAGGATAATTCAGAACCTTCATTTGACACCTTCTCTAGGTTTGATTCGTTCAGAAGCACACAAGATACTGGATTTTTTCGTCAACCAGAAACACTCGGAAGATTTGATTCTATGAGCAGCAGTAGAGATTTTGATCAGGGTCATTGTTTTCCTACATTTGATGACATCCCGGACCCTTTTGGCTCTTCGGCGCCATTTAGGTCATCGCTGGACAGTTAAACTCCAAGAAGAGACTCGGATCCCTTCAGATCTTCAAATCCATTTCAGACGTCATTAGGCAATCAAACTCCAAGAAGAGAATCAGAATTTTTCGGGTCTTCAGCAGCGCCAGTTAGGACATCATTCGACAGTCAAACTCCAAGAGGAGACTCGGACGCATTTGGGTCCTCTCCATTTAGGACATCATTCGACGATCAAACTCCGAGAAGAGACTCGGACCCATTTGGGCCTTCAAGGCCTTTTCAGACGTCACTGGAGACTTCGAGAAAAGACTCTGATCATTGGAGTGCATTTTAGCCAGGTAATTGCTCTGCTTCGTTTTTGTGTCTACTATTCGCCGTTTCGAGCCTTTTTATCGTGGGTGTTACGGGCCGTGGCCATGTTTTATGCTTTGAAATAGCTCTACTTGTAATGTGTCTTTTGTATTTCATTTCTATGTGTATGCATCTTGCTTTGTTTTCATTCTTTTTTCCTTTAGCTTATAATTTTTTTCTCCGTAATTTTGGAATGTTCCTAGTCCTATTGAAGCGAAGACCCCTATAGTTTTAACATTGTTACAATTTTGATGATTGTATTATTAAACAGGGGTTGTGCCTTTCTTTTTTTCGGCCTTAATTTGCTGTAATTTTTTACCCCCCTTGATAAAATTTGTTCTGCTGACCTTTGTTTGGTTCAAACAAGAACAATGTTTTGCCGGTGTTAGTCCAATTGGGCCATTCAATTTTTTCGCTCATTGCAGCTCGGCCATCGAACTATGACGTATTTTTTTGGTGTTGAATGTTCAAACTATTGCGTTTGGTTGTAAGACATCTACGTTACCCTGGGCCTGGTGTGTTAATTAATGTTCCAGTCTGATACAAATGCGAATTTCAAGATGCTGTTGGACTTGGTTAAAGATAAGAAATATGACATTACACACACTTGTCCACAACATTGTGCTTTATAATGTAAAAACAATACTAAAATAATAAGAGCCTTGCCTGTTTGTGAGTCTTATTTCTTGAACTTGCCACTCTCTTCAGCGCCGCGCAGCCTTCAGCTTCAACATTACATTGCATTGGGAGTTCTGGCAAAGATTGAAGCCACTTGCAGTTGACTATGTTGAGTTCAGACAACCGAGAAGCTTGTTTGATGCTTGCAGGTATGCTCCTAATCTTGGTTCCAGACAGATACATACGTTTCAATGAGGTTGAGCGAACGAGACCATCAGGGATTTCCAATATACCGCTGTCGCTGAGATCTAGTACTTCTAAAGAGGGAAAACGTTCAGAGCTGGAAGGCAATCTTTCAAGTTCCCGACAGGCTTTAAAGTTGAGACGTTTAAGTTTGGTTAAAAGGTAGATACTTTTATCAACAACCTTGAGGTGCTTGCAGCCACTAAGGTCTAAAGTTTGAAGCCCAATTAGATTTCGAAATGACGAAGGAAGCATTTCGACAGCTGTCCCTTCCAAACTAAGAGACACCAAATGTTCCATTGGCTCCAAGATTTCAGGGAATTTGGAAAAACTAGAGCAACCTTTGAGATCAAGTTTCTCAAGACATTTCAACTTACAGATGGTCTCTGGAATACTCAAAAGCCTTTCGCAACCTTGCAGTTGAAGTCTTTTGAGAGCAGGGAAAGACCCGATTGATGAGTGTAGCTCTTTAACTGCTGTTCTACTTAAATCTAAGGACTTCAAGTAAGAAATGTTTTTGTTAGACCAGACTGATTTGGGCAACTCCTTGATACCACTGCCTTGTAAATCCAAGTATTGAATATTTCCTGGCATCTTTGGAAGATACTTGAGATTGCTGCAGTCTCCAAGATCAAGATGAGTCAGCTTGTCAAGATGTTGAATACCCCCAGGAATTTCAACCAACCTGGAACAACCATTGAGATTTATGCTCACAAGTTTTCGACTCCTAGAGAGATTTGGAGCTCTAGTTAGATTTCTTGAGTTTGATAGATCGATCACTTGTAAGTTCACAGGTCTCTGTATCAAGAGTAAATAGAAATATAAAGAATTAATATAATTTCTACGCTTGATTTGATACAAGAACTTCTTAACTTTGCTATTGGGCATATAATAGAATATACCTGGTCTTTTTTCCAAAGCTTCTTAACTTTGCTATTGGGCATATGAAGCTCAACCAGATTTTTCGAAGAAAATTTTGACGGCAAAGATTCCAGTGGATATTTAGGCCAGTAAAGATAACTAAGAGAATCGGGAAGTTCTAGAGGAGTGGTGATTTTGTAGCAATTATCCACAATTAGCAATCTTAGGTTAGACATCACTTTGAAGTTTGCACAAGTCAATGATCGCTCTTCAATCTTTGACCAATTCACCAATATGGCTTCAACATTTGGAGTTATCTGACAATAAGAAGAAAGTTTAAATGTGAATATATATGCTTTCAACATGTTAAAATGTAATGCACATTTGGAAGAAGAAGAAAAAAAAAAAAAAGAATTCCAAACACTTCCTAACACAATAAAAATCATATCTAACTTCTTTATTACAAATGAGTTTTACTTTGTTACATTATCTTCTAAAGTTATCTAAAAGAAGAGAAAAAAAAATTGAGTGCATTTGACTCTTACCGTATTACATTCCAATACATGAGAAGCATCCTCATCGTTGAACATCCTACTCCGCTTACTGGAATCTTCAATACATTCCTCCCGTACAATTGCCCTTCCCATTCTTTCAACCAAATCTAGCATCTCTATGGTTTTCGATTTTGAGTCAATTGATATGAGAGACATATCAACAAGAGCTCCAATTCGGGTTGCTGGAAAGCCTCCATGGATAGCTAACATTTTTTCTACCTCTTTCACCTTCTTCTTTTTATGAAAACATGCTATATCCAAAAATATATTCTTATCAATTTTTGTCAGTCTGTCATAACTTGGTCTCCACACTCTTAGGATATTTTCATTGGGAAATTGTTTCAATTTGTCCAATTCATTTTCCCAGGCTTCTTTGCTCTTGCAATTTAGGAATGAGGACCCCAGAAGTATAAGAGCTAAAGGAACGCCTCCGGCATAAGCCACCGCCCCATCAACCAACTCATAATCTATTTTAGAAGTACCGGTATTCTTGAATGCATACGAACGGAAGAGCTTAAGAGCGTCATTCGGTTTTAATCCCTCAACCTTGTAGATCTGATCCTCTACAACATTGTGCTTAAGTATGCTCCTATCTCTACTTGTGAAAATGATTCTACTTCCAGTGCCATACTGAAGACGATGGCTAGCTAACTCTACTATTTGCATTGCCTCACTCACATCATCAAGAACAATGAGGACCTTTTTCTGGCCGAGCATATCATTAACAAAATTGACTCCTATGGACATCACTTCATTACCCTTAAATAACTCTTCAAGAAGTTTGTTTTGCAAGTGTTTTAGCCCATCTTTTTGTTCTCTCTCCGTAACATTTTCAAGAAAACACGAGGCTTCGAATTTAGAAGAGTGTTTGCGAAATACAGCTTTAGCAAGGGTGGTCTTGCCAATACCACCCATGCCCCAAATACCTACAGTGATCAGATGGTCCGTTAAATGAATGCCTAACAGTGATTCGATCTGCTCGATGCGACTTTCAATTCCAACAAGGCCCTTTAAATTGCAGGATGAATGGCGACTCAATTTGGTCCAAATATCCTTAACAACTATCTTGACTAAATCGGCATCCGTCCTGGCATATATATATGATTATGAAGAAAAGCAATAGTTAGTCTTAAATATACCTTACAAAGTCTTAGCACAAATCAAACCGTCACAAGTTTAAAGAAATTTATAATTTTATACAGGTTAAAGAATTAGTTTGTTACCATGTGTTTTCTGAATGTTGAAACCCAGCTACATTGGCTGCATCCGTCAAAGCACCCCTCCACTTGTGCACCTTGTCGATATTGTCCTTGAAACGTTTTTCGTGTATAGCAAATGCAGCCGCATAACTCCCTCGTTGTTTTCGTACATCTGATGGATCGGTGTGGTAAAAAATGGGTATCACAGACTCGGCTCTTCTGTTGCCTCTTTTGTTGCATTTAAGTATGTGCACAAGTTCATCCAAACACCATGTGGAAGAAGCATAGTTTTGTGAAAAAATGATCACCCAAAGCTTTGATTTCTGGATTGCCTTTCGAAGAGCAGGTCCTATTTGTTCTCCTCTCTCAAGTCTCCTATCGATGTAGGTATCAATCTTCTTCTGAAGCAAGGCATCGTAAAGATGGCTCGTAAAAGTATTGCGGGTGTCCTCACCTCTGAAGCTGATAAACACATCATACTTTTTTCGACGTTGGGGGATATCAGAATGAGCAACAGCAGTAGAATGAGCAACATCAGAATCAGCCGCAGAAGACGGAGAAGAAGACAATGTCAATAATTTGCAGAACATGTGCAACAGAGTCCCGATTGCGATGATGATGATGTTGAAATCTTGAATGAACCCAATCAACCCCATCTCTCTATCTCTCTCTGGAGAAGAAAATGAAGCGATCGAAGCGAGTGTTCGATTAGAAAGAGAATCTGAACTATAAGTACACCTAAAACTATACAAAAATTGAAATTGTACTACTTGTCATTGAAAATTAGCCCAACACACTCTGTCAGGCATCTTTCAATAAAATATAACGGAATAAAAGGTTATAATATAAGAAAACCGAACGAAAAATTCATAAAAAAAACTTTCCTCTTTAAAGAAAAAGTTTTTTTTTAAAATATAGTAAATAGTATCAAGAAAAAGTATAAATATAATTTTTTATTAAAAACGAACAATATCGAATGTGCTTTGTTAAATCTTCCCGTAATATATCCTTATGAATCCAGCTCCTCCCTGATGCGAGGAAGTTGTCTAGCGCTAGTGGACACTGTTAGCTCAGTCGTCCACTCTATACAACAATGTAAAATATAAATTGTTTTCAAAGCATATCATATATGCACGTTAAATTCTCTCATATTTTATTCAGCGTACATTTATATTCAATCGTTAAATTTAACAATATGTGTCATACATTAATGTATATTAAATTTTTTTTAAGTCAGCTGATATTCAAATTCAATGGTCGATGGTCATAAAAGGTGGCTTCCCTTTACTCTCTTTATGTACAAAATTCGCAATTTTGTAATTTAGTTAATGACCAATTTCTTCTGATAAAATTTCCAAGCACTTTCTATTTTTGTTGTGTATCCTTTTCTAATTTCTAGAAAAAGTTAAAACATGTGAATTGCACACTACGAAATCATGGAATCCTAAAAATATAGTTCTTCACTATTCACTATTCGAAAATTTAAAAATGATAAACAAAATAATAAACCATTGATATTTGAAATTTGTCTTGGTACATTTACTTGCACGTTGAAGGAACTTTAGGCATAAAGTCCTGGATGGCCAGTACGGGTGTCCCCACCTCTGAAACTAATAAACACGTTGTACTTTTTTGCCTCTGGTTTTTAGACCAGCATCCTCTCTTAATTTAAGGATGAGGTTCCTCATGATCAAGAAATGTAGGCTATTAGATTTTTATTCAAGGGTTACGAATAGGGGTTCCTTTAAAATTATAATAATTATAACCATTAAATTTTTATCCAACGATCCATATCTCTTGGTCATGAGGATTCTCATCCTTAGATTAAGAGAGGATTATGATCCCTAGTTTTTGGAATAAGATTGTCTCCTCTTTTAATTTTTCTTTCATTTTTTATTCTTTTATTTGAACGGTAATGATTAAGTTAGGTTAACATTTGTTATTGATCAAGAAATGTGGGCTATTAGATTTTTATTCAACGGTTACGAATAGGGGGTTTCTTTAAAATTATAATAATTATAACCATTGAATTTTTATCCAACAATCCATATGTCTTGGTCATGAGGATCCTCATCCTTAGATTAAGAGGATCATGATCCCTAGTTTTTGGAATAAGATTGTCTCCTCTTTTAATTTTTCTTCCATTTTTTATTCTTTTATTTGAACGGTAATGATTAAGTTAGGTTAACATTTGTTATTGATATTTTTTTTATAAAAAGAGAAAAATAAAGAGAAAAGTTAGAGATGAGTGGAGTGAAAGGAAGAGAAGAGAAACCTACTCTCTAGTTTTTAGATCCAGAAAGTAGCTGTAGAGAGATTTCTTATTAGATAAATATTAAAAAAACTCTTTTAAAATGATATTTTTCATGAAGCAACGAGAATCCAATGAAGCAAGAGACAAAATTCAGAATTTACGTGAACTGGCTTTTGACCACGTGCTTAAAGATCCAAACTCATTCAGAAACATTAATGAGCGAGAGACCAACAAAAGTAGAAAAAGGAGCACATGGGATGGGCCCTTCCCTTACACGCTTTACATGCAAAGTTTTGAATTTTCCTTTGTGTTCAATCTCTTTGGAGAAATTTCCAAGCATTTACTATCAGTACATTTTTGTAATTTCCCATAAAAAAAACATGTGAATTTCACACTAAAAGATTATGGAGGGCTAAGAATATAATTGTTCACTAGTGAAGATTGCCTTAGATTTGGAATTGTCTTTCCGAGCACACAAGTCAACCCATTAAGAGTCTAATACCTATTTTATTTAATTTCAGTGTACTAAGATATTAAACAATCCTCACCACTACCAATCTCACCATCATATTATGGTGAATCAAACTAAACAGGGTCTTATGGTTACGCGTTAACAATTCAATGAGTTGATTTGTCATCTCTATTTTCAGGCTATCAAGAGGTCATAAGAAAGTCTAGAACTCTACCTGGAATTATGTGCCTTGGCTCAAGTGAGAGAGTCATGATACACTCCATCTCTCTCTCTCTCGCTATCTATCTAGATAGGGGTGGGCATAAAAACCGGCGGACCGGAAAACCGAATCAACCGAATAAAAAAATTGAAAAAAACCGTGTTGACTGAAAAAGTCAAAATCGAGTCAAGAACTAAATCAGACTAGCTCAAACCAGTTCCAGTCCTTATTTTGTAGCACTAGGAACCAGCTTAAATCGAACTGGACCAAAAGTATAAATATTTATTTAAGTTTATTAGTTTTATGAATGTATGTATGTATTTACAAGTATTTATAAGTGTATTATGTGTATATGTATGTAAATTGTGTTTTGTACTCTTTTAACTAGTATTGGTACAATTAACCAATATTTTACACTTTAGTTTAGTTTAGGATGTACACTTTGGTCTTGATTTGAGGTTTTTTATCCGTGGATTTATATTTATATGTACACTTTCTCTCTTCCGGTAAAAAATCTTTTAAATCTATTAGAGGGAACTCAAATTTGCTTGAATTAGTATTTTAAATATGTGTTTGATATTGGAAGTAGAAGATTTGAAAAAAAAAAAAAAAAATATATATATATATATATAAGCATATTTGCAAAGGGATGTGATATCTACACATCTCATTTTACTTCTCACACACCTTCTTAATTTTCAGATGTTGGATCAGATGAATTGAAGAAGATAAACGAACATAAATTATCAAGGGATGTGTGAGAAGTAAAATAGGGTGTGTGGATAGCACATCACTTTGCAATATGTAACATATCAAACACACACACAAATATATATATATATATATATATATATATATATAATTTTGGTTGTAAATCAGTATAAACCAAATTGAAATTAAACTAAATCAAATTGTAAGATGTTAGTAAAAAATTTAAGCGGAACCGGACCGTGCCCAACACCATATCTAAGAACTAAACTAAGTAAAGACAGAGAGAGGTTGAAACTGAGAAGCAAGCAAGGGATTAGAGAATAGTTGCCCGTACAAACCAGATCAATTGTACTAGTTGACTTGACTTGCACAAGGTTACAAAAATAAAGATTGACGAAAAAAAGAAGAGATCAAATTACCTTCCGCGAACAAAAATTCAATGCGTTCACACATATGAAGAAAATCAAATTAAAGCCACATCATCATGAGTTTAGATTTCTTGAGTTCTATTTTCCTTTCACTGCTTTCAGCTTTGAACAGTAATGAAATTTAATCTTCACAAAGACAGCTAACCTACAGCCGGTTGGCCATCGTAGCAACCGAGTCACGTACTGTTAATTCATTATTAGCTCAGGATGTCAAGGTAGCGTTCCGAGCGTATACAACCCTTTCATTAAAGAAAGAAGCAAACCAAAATATTCGAAAATGAACAAGCAAACTTTGAGATAGAAAACACACATATGCCAAATTGGCTTCGGTGAACTACAATTTACCTAGGTACAAGAAAAAGAAGTGGTGAATTGCGTTTATAATTAAGATATTTCTTTTCAACCCGCTGTATTTAGGCACTAACAATGGACTTGTAAGTACAAAAGAATAGAAAGAAGCGAGTACTTGAGAATTTTCTGGTGCTTCGAAATATCATATACAGACATTTTTAGAAAATCATCAAAGAGATGATGAAATTAAAAAAAAAAACTTTAACAAAAAAATTTCGGTACTGTTTATTTTAACGAAAAATTATATTTTTACACTAAAAATATCAATCATGTTATTATTCACTTTATCCTTTATTTTATCTTATAATTAAAATTAAAAAATTTCAAATTCTTTCCATTAATTTTCTTATAAAAAAAACCCAACTCAAACACTCTTACCTTCCCCGAACAAAAATCCGAAGCGTTAAGACACATGAAAAAGACAAATAAGGGGAACATCATCATCAGTTCTTACCCTGACTGTTCACAAGTCACAAGCGCATGGTAGTGGCAAACACACAGTAGCCAATGTAATTTGATATCGCTTTATGTTCAAAATTTGTTGCTCGCCTTCATCCTTTGATCAGCAGAGTATCCAATGTAATTTGATCTCGAGATTCTCGACAATGACAACCTAACCATTTAGGTGACTTGCATGTTGTGTTATTTATTTAGGATATCACGGTGAGTGTAAGTAAGTTTTTAATTAAAAATAAGACCAATCGAAAGTATTTGCCTTTTTAAATTAACGGTCAAAACCCTGAAATTAAAATTCACTTGCAACTCCAAAGGCCAAGACAACAGGAAGACCGAAATCATCTTTTTAAAACAGTAAGGGTTCGTGAAAATTGATGGACATCATATTATCCAATTTGTGAGAAATTGTATAGCACCTTCATGCTCTAATTTGCAACAAACAATCATCAATACCAGTGATAAAGTGCCAGAGCGCAACAAACAATCACCAAAACTTGCAATAAAACGTGAAATTATTTTCGATACATCATAAATATGTCTTTTCTATTCTGATAAACGATACATACGGATTTAATATCTCTATAAATTCCACAATCACTAAAATGTGCTTGATAGCTCCTAAATGGAGCAAAATATAGTCAGAATATATGAAAAATGTTAATGGAGTGCAGAGATTTTACTCCAAAGAAACATCAGAAGTTTACATATTCAAGAAAAACAGAACTCTCCAAAAAAAATCGAAAGGGACGATGAAAAGAGGAAAAAAAAAATGAAGAAGAAAGGAA